TCCCTCTTTTTTTCATTGCTCTTTCACTTATTGTATTTGTCAAACTTATTACCAGTAAAACAATATGCAGAGTTGCAGATGGTAAATTTCAATGTTCAGTCAAATAAATGAACAAGCATATTGAACTTATTACAAAAAGAAATCTTTACCATGCTAGCATGAGTAAGTTAACATACCTTGTTCATTGAGACTTGGATCACATGATTTCTTGGATTCAACTGTTTCATTGTCTCTTGGTGGCATGCTGATATCCACATCAATTGCTAGACAAGAATTATCGGAAGATTTTCCTTCATGCTGATTAGGACTGGAGGGCTCATGAGTTCTAATTCCTTGTTTCTGTCAGATATTCCAGCATAAATTCTTATGAGCATAGTAGTAAGTAAATAAAATGCTCAATTTGACTAGATATCAAGCAAAATGTGTCTATTTTTCCTTTATCTAAAGCCTTCGATACAAAATAAACCTATAAAAGCTCACAAAATAAGAATGCAGATACTATTGTAACAACCCATAGAAAGGGGTGATCTACACCATTCATGGGAGTTAGTTTGGGAAATATTAGCTCTTCTTTCTATGGTGCAAACCACCAGTGTTGGTTCTGATAAGATCCATGGTGCGCTACCCAAACCCTACAGGGTGTAGCTCCTCTAAGTGAAGCTTTGAGGGTCAAACATAATTAAAAGATTAAAACAGCAAAAGAGACTAGAAAGTGAGAGATAAGTGTTAGACAAAGTTGCAAACCTCAAGATCCTTCAGTAATAGTAAAGCTGCTTGACCTTTCGCAACTTTTTTCTTCTTGTCACGCCCTGTCCTCACTAAATAAACTTTCTCTAGCTGAACACTGAGCTGAGCAACTGCTATATCTCCTTCCATAGTGAACTTAACATTCAAGAAATAGCCACGGCGACCCAACAACTCAAGTAGTTCCCTAACAGGAGGTAGCTCAAGATTACGAGGTGTTACAATGGGAGAAAGTAATGGTTTAAAAATTTCCCAAACTTTATTTAATTCGAGATTCACATCTAGTAGTATAGCACCAGCTATACTCTCAACCATGTCCCCAAGTACCTACAAGAAATGAAGATGCTAAAAGACAAATTGTATTCCCTTATGGCAACAAGAAAATAAACGAAAAGTTGATAAAATCACATTCAAGTTCTTTTTCCTCTGAGAAATTGTCTGGAAAGTAAATGAAAAATGGTGAATGTCACGTTAGTTTTTTAACCCCTTTGACTATCTCAAACTTTTTGAGAAAATGGACGGAAAGTGAATTGAGAGGAGAAAGAAATTAATAATTTAATCTCTTTACTTTCCTTCACAGTTCCATTATCTACTTCCATAGCAAGCAAACCGAACTAGTAGAGAAAGTTGACACCACATAAGTTGCTACCTCAATATATCTTTTTCACTTTTTTATCATCCAAAGAAGATTTGCAAAAGGAAAGTCATTAGAAAGTATTTTCTCTTTACTTTTCACTTTAAATGTCTAGCCTCCAAACACCCCCCAAAGAGGCGAAGCATAAGTCTAATAAATTTTCATTATTCTTATCTTACTTTTTAAATGCTAAAAAACAATAAAAAAGATAACAAATTATGTGGATATTGTTACAGTAATCTAGCCAAAGATCAATACACAATTTCATTTTGGTTATTTGCACTCAAGTTCTCACCCTTGATTATAACCCAATAAGCTTTGAAGAACATTTTTCACTGGCTTATGAAGTGTGAGTCTGTGAGACTCAGATAAAAGATATGAAATGTAGCATGAAGCTTAATCTTCATTTACAGTTCGTGCAACAAAGCACGTGCCCTACTGTCCTGAGCACCTCGTATATGCATGTAAAGGCCTTTTTCCTCCGTATCTTGAGATGCATTTGGTTTGTGCCCTTTCGAGTGCTTTCTCAGTGATAATTGACAAGCTTAAAAATTAAAGAAAGCGTTCTAAGATATAATATCACTCTCATAGATTTACCTTAGGGCCTTTTGGTAAACCATTCAATGAAGACAAATCATCATCCTCTCTGGCTTCTTCCAATCGCATGGCATATTCTGTTATTTGTTCTGACAATAAACCTGAAGAGTGCTGAAGATGCTGTTGAAGCTTATGCCTGATTGCACATCGAGCAAAGCTTTCATTGCTAATTGATGCTGATCTTAAATCAGTTAATTCTCCAGGATCAATATCTTTGTAAGTTTGAAACAGATGCCATGTTATGACCAAGTCTAGTGCGGCGTCACCAAGAAATTCAAGCCGCTGAATAAAAAGTCGCAATTTCAATCAATATCTTTGAAGAGATTGTGTCAAGCAAAAGAAAACCAATTATAACAGTAGCAACCACATTGCAATACCTGGTAGCAGTAGTTTATTCCTATTTCTTGCTGAGAACCATGTGTAATTGCCTCCAATAGAAGATCTTTAACCATAAATTCATAGCCAAGTTTTACCTCTAGAGCTTCTATCTCATCAGATTTTGAAGTAAAACATGTGGATGTTATGGATTTCTTGATCAATTCAGGCCCACATTCCACATCAATTCCAAGCCATTTCATCATCGCAACTGCTGCACTTAACCCACCACCAACATAATAAGCTCCAATCAAAGCCTCAGCACAATCCGAGATAGTCTTGGAGCAGATCCACCTATGACCCCCATCACAAGCTTTTCCTATCACGATAGAATTATCATTGTCTGTGTGAACGATTTTGCATGGCACTTCAGAAACTTCACATTTACATGGGTAAGGCCGATTAGTAAGTTGACCAGGGGCAACCCAACGGCGAGGATCAAACACAGCATCTCGAATGTACCCCTGCAGAAAAAAAGCAATTGACATGACAATTACGGTAACATTATGCCATGAAACTCGTAAAAATGCTAATAAAATAAACTGCCAGAATAAAATGTAACATACGCTTCTAATTGCAAACTAATTGCACTATACCAATAAGTGAAGGGAATAATGAAATGGTATATGAAAAAAAGCAGTTGATAAAAAGAATGAGACATGGATTGACTAACGAATAATTTCACTAGTTTTCCAAAATTTCCCAAATTCTTAGTTAATAATCATGTGGCTGTGTTGCTTTTGGATTGACTAACAAACAACTATGCCAAAATCAATTGCATCCGCCTTCTTGGTGGGAGAAATTTGGAGAGGAAACTACTACATTTCAAAGGTTTACTCTTTGAGTCCCTCTTTCGCTACAAGTGTTTGAAGATGCAAGCACCTTTGAGAAAGTAAAGAATGTTTCAATTCAACATTATTAATGTAATTGTAATGTTAGCCTATTGTTATTTGAGGTTTACACATATTTGTAGGATCTAAATTTCTATATAACTTACTTAACAGCACAATTGCAGAAGAGGTGTCACTTTAGAGCAAGAGCAGTATAAACCTCTTGTTTCTGTGGCGTACAACAAGAATTGAAGGAAGAGTATCTCGAGGAAGGCACGAAAGCTGGATCCAATTTCGATAGATGAGGCGTTCCTTGATGATGAGTGGATCATGGAGAGCAGAACATTGTCTCCACTTGACGTTGAACCGATTGTGGGGAGGGGAATCTCGTCGCATGATGATCCTGGTTGGTGATTAATGTGGATAGAGATAAAGAATATCTAAATGTAGCTTCAATTATTAACCTAACTATTAAGGAAGAAACGAGGAAGATTCTATAACAACAAAGAAACAAAAGGATCAATAGCCCTTTTAAGAAATTTATGAATTTATCATCTTATAAATAACTGTCTGGAGCTTTGAAATTTCAATTGCAATTTGAAGCATCATCCATTAGAAAGGAATTGTTGAAGATGTTGTGATAGGGAAGAGGAATCTGTTAACCAAGAGGAATTTATGTATTCTTGATCTATATCCCTTATACATTATCCTTCTAGGTTATTTAGATCTTTCACAAAGGCTACGTTAGAGACAAAGTCTAACAGATAGAAACATTCTTATCCAAGTTGCAAGGAAACGGGTGCGGGTACCGGTAAGGGTGCAGGTGCGGGTATACATGTACAAGTAATGACAAAATTGTAAACAGTCGGATACCAGGACATGGTACATATATCTAATGAAATTAATAATTCACATGAGATCATTATCGATTTTCAATTCATGTGTTATTAGAATTGAATTCCCTATCACATTTCTAAGTTTATTTTGAATGTTGATTACTAAAGATCGGAAACTACTCGTTATTTAACTTGACACGGAAACTACCATTTCATAGTTTTGAACTTTGGTATGGACTGAAACAAACCCAACTTATGTCTAACAAGTTTCAAGAAATGGATGTGAAATGTAGGTTATTCATCCAAGAAATGTATCAGTGTATCACAAGTGTTTTAAAATTATTAACTTACATCATATAATTGAGTACATGTTTGAATAAATGTATGCATATGTGCAATGAGTGCCCATAAAGTTTGGGTACGGAGACGTGTCAGGTAAGCATCAGCTACGGGTACGGGCTCATGATAGAAGTACTCGAGTAACAAAGATTCTTAGTTATTTAAAACGCATTTCGTAGCCACTAGAACAAATCTCTATTTAAGAATATAATGACAAAAGGGACTTTATGCACTTAAAGAAAATAATCAAACATGTTTAAAAATTGTTTTCATTGTTTTAAATGTGATGATTCCGATACATCATTAGTTGATTCATAATATTACTTTGCTTTTGCTAATCATTGTACTGACGGAATACACACACACATACACATACCAATAAATGACTATTCCAATGGATGATCCACTCCATTCATCAAGATATAAAAGTCTCAAAACATCTATTAAACAAAAATCATGATGTTTAAATACTTCTAACACATATTTTTCATCGTCTCTTAAGTTGTATTGACATACAACCATCAACTATACAATCACATAATGCATGAGCAACTAGAACCCATATGCCTAATTTTTGTTTATATACAATCTAAGACATAATTTTTAATGAACGAAGCGGATCATGTAAATTGATTGCATATAACATAGTTTTGAAGGTGATTCCGTAGATTGAATCTAAGGCGTCACCTTAGGAACTTGGTTACCTATTTAAAATTAGATTCAGATTCATATTCACAGACGGAAAAAGAAGAAGAAACTATTATGAATCCTACACTTTCCATGTTTAAGAGGGTTATTTGCATTAATAAATAAGGGCCAATTAGGAGTTTCAAGTATCTACAATAAGAGCCCATTCTCTTCTGAAATCGTACTAAATTTTATTTTGATGAGAACTTTAGGATTTTCTTTGAGATATTTTGATTAAGAGATTACTAAGTACAATTAGGGATTTAAGTACAAGAGCAATTCCACCATTTTGTACTCCTCATAGTTTTGATTAGTGGATTCAAATCCTCCTTTGTCCGGAGATACAGGCCTCTAGTGTCAAACCACACAAATCTATGGTTTCTTCTAGTCACATAATTTTCTTTAAATTTTGTGTTTATGTCGACATTGTCACAACAAACTGGTATTAAAGCTTCAGATTATTGGCTAGGGTATCAAGATGTTGACAACTAAGTTCAATAATAGAGAAGCTCGATAACCTTATAAGAATCTTGACAGTCGGCATGTCACATGAATGTCTTACGAGGCCCTACAATAAATGATTGAGAACATCACTTAATGACTAGATGGAAAAAGTTCTAACATAATCGCACAGAAAAATAAAAAGAAAACATTGCTCTGTATGGATAAATATGCATTCACATACAGCAGAGACAAACAATAACAACTGGGCAAACCAATTTTAACAAGAACTCAATCAACAACCTTCAGCATATGCTGAAAAATAGTTACGATATACAACAAAAAAGTACTGACGTAGCCTCATTAATCATTCCTTAGAACTAAACCATCAAACATAATCAAGTCAAAGTAGAACTGAAATGGTAGGTTAATTCTGCAATGTACTGATAAAAGTAAGCGCAATCTTGTTCTAAATATCAAGCAATCCCAACAATCCAAGTAGGAGTACAAAGGCCAAAGAGCTTGCACTGATACGTATCTTAGTGAGACCATATGCTCATCTACTCCAGATTTAGTTCTATTTGACGCAGGTTATCCATGGTAAGAAAGCATTTTTATATTGTGAAGAGAGGTCGACAATGTGGCATTTTTGATAATTGGGAGGAATGTAAATTCGCTGTTGATAAATTTTCAAATGCCTCCTACAAAGGGTTTGCAACGTACGAAGAGGCTTTGAGTGAATGGGAGAAGCACATCATCGATCGTGATTCAACATCCAGCTCAAGACCTGTCCAGACACCGTTTCAATTTCAACAACAAATATTTCCGGAGCAGCATAATCTAGATAAGGACAAGGAAAAATTTAGGGAAATTGTTATTTCCCCGATCTATATTTTTGCATTAGGTTCAATGTTTACAATATTAGTGTTTGTAGTATGTATCGTTGCAGTATTTGTTGGCTTTTCCATTGTTAAAGGTATGTGATGTGATTTGTAAGTTATGTGATGTAATATTTATGCATCTTATATTTTGGACTTTAGTTGCGAGGGAAAAACAGCCTAATACTTGTTCAAAGTGCCAACGAAATAAAGTGTTTGACATGTCAGTTCTTATGCTTTTCCTGCTATATTTGCATGTATCGTGTTGTCTGTATTCCACCAAAGAGAACTGGCTATCGCCAAATGCCAAAGAAAGGGACTTCAGATTTCTGTAAGCAAGAAAAAGAGAATCATCGTTTGAAGATTATAAAAAGTGGAGATTGTCCAAAGGAAAAAATTGCAAATTTTGTCTGCCATTTAGAGAGAACCATCATCATCTCCTCCCTAATTTTTTGAGACGTGCAGGAGAGCGTTGATAAACTATATATGGCAAATAATTAAGTTAACAAATTTTTTCAAGCTCATACTTTAGGTCTTTAAACTAATCCGAGCAAAATTTTACCAATCCAAGCAACAAACTTACTACATCACATCTGCCTTAAAAAGATATATGACAATACCAACAGTATCAATATCAGTAGCAACCCAACTTTTTCACGAGAATAGTTCTAAGCTTTCTCCAAAAGAAAGGAATGTAGTTCCAAGGCTCTATTGTATAAGAACTCAATGAGGTGTACGACCACCTACTCAAAATTGATGCCAGATAACTCACCAGAAGTATGAATATCTAAGCATTCTTTGTGTAGTTAAACATCAATGTTGTCAATCTGCATGGAGCCTCCACTATAACTCCACTGACAATTAAATGGGAACTTTTTCCCTAACTCTCGTTTTGTTTCAGCCCATTCAAAATGCTTAAATTAAAGGAACAAAGTACTTACAAGTTGGCTCGCGGAAGGGGGGAGGGCTGAAGGCGGAGG